TATATACACAGTATATATTAAATATAAAATGAAACAGTGGATCTGAGTTTTTGTAAACTTAAAGGTAGGTTTGAATAATCAGAGAACCTGATAAAAACCTAAATATTTATTTCTTATTATGTAAAACCATAAAACTGAAAGAGAATGCACACTTTTCCCATGATTGTACATTTGCTGTTTTTGTGTTTGTAAGTTTATAAACTTGACTAAGAACCAAGATAAGAATTACATTTTCACTTCCATTTTGTAAAACAGGTCTCTGGCATCTAAAGACATTTAACTTCTAGCTGTGATGAGTGTTTGCATGGCATTCCTTAACAGTACTTTGAACATTGTTTAACAGAAAAAGTTCCTGACACAAATTGTTATAAGAATAAGCTACTTTATTTGACATGGCAATTCCAAATATTTGTTACTTTTGATAYATTTGTTACATTTTTTTCTAGAAATAAATTGCTGTAACACCAGTCTCTTGTTTTTATTTGCCTCATCTCAAATACAGAATTCAAAAAAAGAGTCAGAAGTCATCAATCAAATAACCCTTAAAATTGTTTCTCTACAAGCTTGAAACATTGGATTTGTTGGTCTTAGCCCATGATAGTTTTTAGCTTTTTATTTTGTTGAAAAAAAAATACTATCCATTGAAAAGAGCGGAGACAAATACTGTAAGCAATTCAGTGACTGCACCAGATACTATAAAGCTCTGTTAGGAAGAGGTGGCTGAGCAAACTGAAGACGGGGAAAAAAATGTATAAATTGTCATTTTTAACAGCTAAGACTGTTCTGAAATCCATATTTATTTTTCTTCTTTTTCTTGTCCTTAAAAAGTCTCAAACTGTTTCATTCTGCAATCAGAAAGTTCAGAGGAGACTCGTGTCCTTCCCGAGGATTTGAGTTTTATAAAATGCATATTCTAAGGGATTACAAGTGATTCAAATTTCTGTGTTGTTATGATATACAGCACGTTGAGGACTTGGGCTGCTCTAGGATGGACTCCCTGCGGAGATCGTTTGGAATGGTGCCTTCGGGGCCCCAAAGTGTGAGCTCACCATAAATGCCCATCTCAATCATCTCCTCTTGCCAAGGGATTGGGATGTTACCAGTGGAGAACTCATCAAAAAAGGTTTTATCGGAATCCTCCAGGGCTACGCCCCTCACCGAGGAGAAAGCCCCAACGTCATCCAGACTTTTAGCATAAACCACTTTAGGGTCAGGGACAAAAGGAGGAGGTAGAATACCTAAAGAGGGAAGAAATGTGAAGATAAACTCATATTGTCTCATATTCAAGCAGTGATGCTAACAATAAGAAAATAGATTGTACCTGCATTCAGTTTTCTCCAGTTAATRCTSTTGAAAAACGGATGCGCTCTGATTTCATCACAGCATTCGTTTTTGAAACCCATCCTCTTATCCACGTCTTTGGCCAGTAGCCCGTCACACAGCGACTTGGCGTGCTCGCTGAAGTTATCCGGATAGGTCACCACGCGGGTCAACATGCGCTCCTTCATCTCTTCACGTTCAACCTGTGCGAGAAGCCAAACAACTTCCCATCAGCTCATCTGTTTCAGGAACTCTGCCGTTTTCTCTGCGTGAATWCTTGTTCAAGGACTAACCTTCTCCCCTCTGTTTCTAAAAGGATTCTTGGCAGCGATGAACTCATACAAAGTCACCCCYAAGGTGAAGTAGTCCACTGAAGAGTCGTATTTATCTCCTTTCAGCATCTCTGGAGCCATGTACCCTGCAAGAATCCAAATCAATGCRTTACCAAAAACCTCAATCGGTGAACAAACCTTAAAACTCCTCATTGGTCTTTACCTGGTGTTCCAGCATAGCCTTTGGTCATTGTTTTGCCTTCTTTTAGCTCCACAGCTAAACCCAAATCAGATATTCGAACATTGCCTGTTTAAAAAAAAATCCTGGTCAGTTATCACAAACAGATTCACAAAACAATTAGGTTTAATCGAAACAAATACCATCGTTATCCAGCAGCACGTTTTCTGGCTTGAGATCACGGTAGATGATTCTTTTCTGGTGAAGATGCTCTAAGCCTTGGATGATCTGAGCAATGTAAAAACAGGCTCTGGACTCCTCAAACCCCGGGTTGTTTTCATCCACCAGGTAAATATGATACCTGTAGAAACAGAACAGAGCACAGGTGAGCTTTTGGCGCCCTCATGAGTAGAGATGATCGAATGTCTACTCATTTCATCTATTAAATAGGAGCCAAATGACATTAGCCATCAGTGTGTTATATATTTAAACTGAATTTTTAAKGCTAAAGTCTACTTTTTTTCTGACTATAATTGGTGGGTGTTCTCTCAGAACACAAGTGTTAAAACATGAAAGAAAATTAATGCATGCCACAMATTCCTTGGCAGTCAAAGTTGCTTAAATTGACCTTAAACTTGTGCTTTCTCCCATGCATGTTTCTGAATAAACTATCACAAGCTTTCTCCATCACATGCAAGTAAGAATCATGTCTTTGCATCATTTATATGCAAATTTACTCTCAGCAGGAGTCACAGTTCACTTAAAATGTAATTTCAGTGTACATTGACRAGTAAGAGCAATACAACACGTTCTGTTTAGATTTAAAGATTATAGTTGAAGAAACAAAGTTTAAAAATTACTTGAGGTCCCCTCCATTCATGATGGTCATGACCAAACAAAGCTCTTCCTTTGTCTGGAAAGCATATGCCAATGAGACAATGAAGCGACTATGGACCTTCTCAAGAATCCTCTTCTCTACCATGGCCCCCTGCAAAAAAAGGAAGAGGAATAACCCATTTCAAATTGACATTAAGGACATTGAGAAAAGGAAGCTAAATGAGATTCTTGTCAACAAGGGTTAGCGGGCTCAAGTCCAGCCATTCTGGAAAAGTGAAAAAGTGACCATGGACAATACAAGGGCAAGATACAACTGTGCCAAGGAGTTCCCTTCAGAGGAGCTTTTCAGCAAAGCTCCCAGTAATCGCTCTATCCCCKTCTCAGTGTTTAAGTCTGCAGGGCTAAAGCCAAACAAGACAAAGGCAGGGACAAAGATGATTACCAACCTGAACAGCTCAGAGCACTTTCTCTAATGCATAAAACTTGCAAAATATCTTCAGTGTTCAAAACATTATGGAATAATAATAATAATAATAATAATGGGCTGAAACCCATATATATGTTGCGGTTCAATATATTTACTGATTGTTCTAAGTTAAAAGTGACGTTTAAAGCACAATTTTTGATATTTGTCTGAGAAGTTTGAAGAAGCATCATATTTACCTCATAGCCTTTCCTCTTCTTCAGCCTCTTCTTGTTGAGTTTCTTACAGGCGTAAAGTTTTCCAGTGGCTTTCATCTGACAGGCTGACACCTCCCCAAACCCACCTTTACCAAGCACACGGAAGTCCAGGAACCAGTCTGCATCCATGGGCTGCATCTCCAGCCACTTCCACTGCAGGAACCTCTTCAGGTACATGCTCTCCAGAAAGAAAACATATGGGGCCTCTCGAAGGTAGTCCAGCGTTTTTTTCAACGCTGCAGCAAACAAATCATCCCCCACAGACTCCAGACTTTCCTTCACCTTGGCTATGATGTCCTCAGGTAGGTAAGGGCAGAAGTGTTTGGCAGATGGGTCCATGTACCGCTGAACAATCTTGGAGGCTTTCTTTCCTTGTTCAGAGTCCTCTGCCAGATCATAGTCCTCAATGTCTTTCCACAAACGACAAGCACCATGATAGTCCTGATTTGCCTCCAAAAACTCCCTAAATAGTCGTTTGCCAATCGGCTGTTGCACGCAGACAGAGTCAAAGGCCAAATCCAGAGTGTCCCTCAGGCCCTCACAGACAGTGATATGGGGCAGTTTGAGTCGAGATTGGTACTTCTTATCCCGAGCTGCTGCAGCATTGGAGCCATCAATGCTTCCACGGGCGTTGATGTACGCAGAGTTTGCAACCACAGTGGTCAGTCCTCCGATATCCATGCTGAGGGTGGGTTAATGTTAAGAGAGGAAAAACATTGCAAAGAAAGGAGAGCTGAGGATGATAAATGATGCAAACTGGTGTGCAGGGGTTGAAAAGGAGAAAGCAAGAGTGAGGAAACAAAGCAGAAATCACATAGGAGTGATATGGAGAGCAGAGAAGACACACTGAAACTTAAGACTGGTGTCAGAACCAGAGTGGAGCATACTTTGCGGATCATACCACCCTCACACACACACACAAACACACACACACACAAAGCTAGGCACACACATACCTGAGTCAACACCTTTCAGTAATCCATTAACACCCAGATGCCCCAGACAAAGTGTGCGAGCAGTACAGTCTCATATCCTGGAGTGTTACTATCAAGTCACCCAGCAGTTAAGCAAAATAAGTGTTTAAAAATCATTTTAAAAAGATATATGATCTAAGAACAATCTAGAATGTTACACCRCAGTTCAAGGAAAACGATGAAACAAATTTTGTACTGATTTAAAACCTGACACATGGGGGWTGGTCAAAATAAATACTGCACCTCTTTTTAAAGAGTCTTTATTAGTGGATTTGAGGACTGCACAATATAATGCTAATTTATCKTCATTGTGATAACAGCCTGTGCAGGAGGCACAAAAAAACTGCATAACCTGCAATAAATGATTGTCTCAAATGATGCATTTGTGTTTTGTAAGCATCAGTCTGATCAACCAAATGGACTTGAGATACCACATCAAACCATAATCACTTGAGTGGAGAAAACGTTGCTGGACAACTGCAATGAGAGAATTTGAAGTTAGATTTAGGTTTGTTAACTTTGGTTTAAAATTCTTTAACTTATTTTCAGATGTTTTYATCATTTATTGTAAAAGATCTGCTAGAAAGGGGCGTTTTGCAGTATTTAAAGCATCAAAAAAATTTTAATGGAGGCAACGCATTAAAATCATTAAACTATTCATGCAATTTGTTGTTTCACTGCTACTACAGCAGCTGTGTCTAGTTTCACATTTAAAATATAAACCTGTCATGTTGTAATGGATAGGATGCATTAGTTGTTTTTTGGTCTGAACCCAGAGCAGAAAGGCATCCACACTGCATACTTATTTGTTCATTAATCACAAGTCCTGGTATCACACATCACAGGTATTCCTAAGATTGTGCAGCCTTAACTGATTAATTCTACAGAACTGTTGCCCATAAATACAAAATACTTAGTTYAATAAGGATTTGGTAAAATGGTTCTGAGCTGATTAGGAAAGTCACAGAATTGTCACTTAAAAAATACAATCAGTCATAATAACCACAGGTTTCCCCCTAAATAACTATTTAAGTTTCCATTTTATTTTCCAGTTTTATAAATGAGAAAACAGGTATCAAATCCATCCAAAATACATTTTTATGCTGATATACAGTGGAACTCTCCCTGAATCGAGCTGTTGAGATTTYATACAAGAAGCTGGTCACTTCAGAAATCTGTTCAAACTTCAATTCTGAATTTTAAAAATAATTTTACTAACTCGTTCCCACCTTACAGCGGCTGATCACTCCATTGCAGTTCTAAAACAAAATGTAACATMACAAACCCCAAAGAGGTGAAAAATATTCTTTTCAAGTTTAATACTGACAAAACTATTGTTTTAAAAATTGGGCMACGCTGACCATTTCCATCTTTCTTCATCATTGCCAAAAAGACTGAAATCCTAGTCTCAGAAACATCACTGTTTCTTGTTAATTCTTAAGATTAGACCTCCAAATAAGAAAAATGTACATTGTTGGCTGCGAAGGTGTTGAGCATTGGTGGATCACTCAGGTAATACAAAACCTACAGCAAACAGCTGGTAAATAGACCTTGTTCAGTTTTTTTGTTTTTGTAATAAATTTAAAGTACCATCAGAACACTCATCATTTACAGTATACTTATACAAACTTGTAGCTCATAGATGTTCATTGGTAGTGAAACGTGTTGGAATTAGCCAATATGGTTTAATGCAGTACATCCTTTCTGGTTGCAACATTTCCTTTATCTTATATTATTTACAAAGAGAGGTCCTTCTAAATAAAATAGCATATTGTGATAAAGTTCATTGTTTTCTGTAATGTACTGATAA